GTCCCCCAAAAGCTCGTGGCTGAGATAATGCAAGAGCATTCAGAAGTGAAATGATTGGGTTATGAGAGCCTTAACCCAATCAGTGAATTAATCCCCTACTGGGGATTAACTGAGTGGTACTGAAGGCAGGGTGTGGCAGGAGGAGGTGGGCATTGGGGGCATGCTCTTGGGGTCTATATCTTGTATCTGGTGAGTGGAGTCTCTCTCTCTCTCTCTCTCTCTCTCTCTCTCTCCCCTTCCTGATCATCCTGTGAGCTGCTTCCCTCCACCACACTCTTCTGCCATGATGTTCTGCTTCATCTTGAGCCCCGAGGAATGAAGCCAGCTGTGTATGGACTGAGGCCTTTGAAATTGTGAACCTCCTAATAAACTTTTCCTCCCCTAAAATTGTTCTTATTGGGTCTTTTAGTCAGAGCAGTGAAAGAGCTGACTAAAACAATCCCTTGCCCCAATCCACTCTTAACAAAGTAGCCCAAGGGACCCTCTAAAAACCTCTCGGGTCATGTAAGTGCTCTGTTCACAAAGTCCTCACAATGACCCACAAGGCCCTCGGCGGCCCTCCCCAACCCCAGGAGTCCCTGTGCACTCTCTCTTCTCACTCTGATCCAACATCTGGCCCTCTGCTTTCCTCAAACACAGGAGGCTCCTAGGTGGGGACTTTGCTTCTCCATTCTTCCACCACTCCAGAGCCTTGAGGGGAGGGCATGGCCTGGTCCTGAGATGCCTCTCCGCTGCCCGGAGGTCTGAGAGGAGAAATGAGAGGAGGACAAATACCTCCAGACTCCACTGCCTTTTTTTCTGTAAGTGGCTGCCTCTGTTTCTCTGGCTAATCCCAACAGCTTGCTGATCAGTGTACTGAAGCTGCAGTCTAAATGCCCACTTTTTCTTGGGACTCAGGTGTGAGATTTGTAGGAGTCTCTGAAGGGCTTCTCCACTGCAGAGTTTCCTGATGCGGGGAATATGGCTGGCTCCCTCGACACATATAACACAGCTCAGCTTCTGCCCATGGGAGCACAACCCAGAGTTGTGGATAACTGAGTTGCTGGATAACTCTTGCCCCGGGGGCTGGACTTCTTGGGGGCCTATCAAGACAGCTCAATGGGAAACCTTCCTCTGTGTCAAGTCATACCCATAAGAAACTCATTCATCTTGGAAACATACAACCATGAGATCGGGGGCGGCTCTACAGCAGTCCCTCTCTCCACATGCCACTTTCCTTGCACAGGTACGAGGCATAAGAGAAATGAAAAGTCTGCTTCTTGAGTGGATTCCTGCCCCAGCCCCGTCTTTATCAGAGATTCTCTTGGAGCCTCTCACACTTGGCTTTGGTGAGCATGGGGAGCACTTCCTTTACGTGTTACATTTTTCCATCCCCTAATGGCTCCCTCAGACCCCAAATTCAAGTCTGCAAAGACCCTCTTTCGCTTTCTCAGTCAAGCTGGAGCTGGAGGCTGGGGGAGATGGCCATGATGAAGAGTGTGGGTAGCTCTGGGGATGGGCAAGGGAACAGAGTCCTTTGGTTGTCTCTTACAACCCCAAGAAAGGCATCTCTATTCAGAATGTGAAGTACTTAGAAGTTACTCGTTCATCCCAGGCCCAGAAACATCAGGAAAACCTTGAAGCACTAGTACAGACATAATAGCCAACAGGTGGGCAGTTGTGGTGGAGTGAAAGGTTCAAGGTGAACAGAGAAAAGTGTCATCCTCTGATCAAAGAACAATTATCCGTGGGCCAGATATGTTTAACTGGTGAAGAAGCATCCAATTTAACGGGAGGACTTAAATGTGGTCTAAAATTTCGTTTTCTTAGTCGAAATTTTACTCGTTCATGAATAAAATTCTTTTAAAAAATCTGAGTGCACTGTTATTTTTGTTTTCTTTTTCTTTTTATTTTTTTGTGTTTAAAGGTAATATGTGTAAATAGAAATAATGATGTTTCCAGGGGAAACTTGAGAAAATGCAGAAGTTTCAATAAGAAAAAAAAATTATCCACAATCGCATGACCCAAAGATAATCAAGCTTAGTGGCAAATAAAATCATGAGACAATTTAGGATTGCATCACAAAGTAAAGGTCTTTTTTCATTCTGCTTTTGCTCCATTTCCTGTGTTGGAAAATTATGAACACATTTGGGATAATGGTGTTTGGAATATGGTATTTATATGAAACCATTAGGGCCCTAAGACAATAAAAAATGATATTTTCAAGCCCCATAGAAAAAGTGAAGAGTGAGTGAGTGAAATAAGTAAAGGGAGGAAAAAACTTATGGCATCCTAACTAATATTCTCAAACCTTTGAAAAGGAAACATTAGGTGCTAGTATTACCATTTGTTGGGGAGTTTCTCAGAACTGATAGTAGCAAATATAGGAACTTTTTACTATGAGCTAGGCATTGTTCTCTAGGTTGTACATTCAGTCATTCAATTCTTACAACTGTTCTGTGAGGGATAAACTATCTTTCTCCCTATTTTACATCTGGATGAGCCTAGAAAGGTGAAGTGGAGGGGCCAGAATTCCAACCCAGGAAATAGGCTTAACTCCTAGACTTTGCTGTTTCTGGTTTGTTTCTTTAAAATACAACAAAACCAAAACTCCATATAATACTTTCATCCATAGAGTTACTCTTCCTACAGGAAGAGGCAGGCAAGGGTATAGCTAATAATATGGATTCTACGCCACACGTCTATAGTTCTGGCAAAGCCCAGTGTCTTGTTCTGATTGAGTCAAACAAGCTTTCTGAGTTTTAGCTCCTTTTTTTGTGAAATGGGAAAGATATGCCCATCCCATAGGTCTCCTGGGGGAACAATACTGTGATATTTGAAAAGCACTTGGCATGGTGTCCACTTCAGAAGAATGGTACCTACTACAAACCTTGATAATCACTGTCATATGAATAACCAAGGGGACCTCTGTGTTGTATGCAGCATGAGACAATAAGGATCCTTTCATTTATTAGGAGAAACCTTACCAATAGGGTGCAGAGAAATGATGATGGGAAATGATGGAGGACAAGGATTCAGGAAAAGAGTTAGGAGCTCTCCATAAAGTGAACAGAAGGTTGTTTATGTCTGAAACATTTGGGTAGATGGAGAAAGCAGCCTGGTGGGCAGGCAGACATGGTCACGAGAGGACCTGGGATGGACTTGGGTGTTAAGCTTGGGAGGACTGGGACAAGATTGGGAAATGGAGCCTCTGAGTGTGGGAGCTCAGGGTGCATCACTGAGGGAAAGTCCAGGCATCTCTCCTGGGATTTCTCAACTCTCCTTCTCCAAACCTAAGAAAAGAATAACTTTCAATGGGGAGGAAACGGAAAGCCAGTTAGTATCTGAGGAAAGAAGTGGATGTGCTGGCCCGCAGCCCCAAGGTACACAGTCAGCTCAACCCTACTCAGTACTATAAAGGAGATCTACTTATTTTATAATTAGCACATGATAAGAAGACTGCTTTATTTTTTCTTCATCTTGGCATGAGGTTCCAGAATGTCCAGTTCCAACACTGGAATGCTATCCAAAGATTTCATATCCAGAAACTTCCGCTGTTGTGTTACTGGTATGTGAGTTCTGAGATAGTCTAGAAGGGAGCAAAAGCCAGTGCCTTTTTGATAACAATTAAATCTCTGGGTTTATACAATGTGACATGACATGAGAGGCATTGTTCAGCTCTTGGCATGGCTATAAGTGCCTGGGGCAGAACACCAAAGGAAAATGCTTACTTTGAAAGCTTTCTCAGAACAAATCTGAGGGAATTCTCTGGTTAAAGCAAACACATGGACCAAACAAGTACTGGTTTGCTTGGGAGTACATGGAGCTGGCAAGCCTCACTTGGCACAAGAGCATGAGTCATGCTTCACTGTAATGAGGGATCTTGGGGGTCTATAATGAAGACTGTGTGGTATTTCCCCCATGCCTCTTTGGAACATGAGTTGATTGTATACACAGTTTCGAAGAAAGGCCATCAAAAAGAACACAGTTCCTAAAACCTCTGGGGCTTTACAAGAAAACTGAATAGGATAAAAATGAACCCTCAGACATATACCACGGTTTCCAGAGAGCAAAACCTGCCTGTCCCATAGGTGGAGGTGTGGGTATGAGAGGTTGACTTTTAAGCTAATGTTAAAGGCAGTTTCACGTATGTTTAGCTTTTGTTAGCATCCTTGCAGTGACTGTAGCTTCCCTACTCGATTCTTCTGAAAGGGAACAGTCATTGAATATCAAGTTTATATGTAAAAAGCAGGGAAGTTCATTTCCAAGACATAACGTTAATCACATTTCATCTGTGATCTTTTGGACTTTTTCTATCAGACCAAGTCAATACTTAAGGTATTGCATGCAGAAAAACAAAACAAACAAACAAAAAAAAAACAACAACAATAACAGGAAACCAACTCTGGAAAGTAATTAGGACTCTTTCCCAGTGCTTGCAAATGGCTCCTTACTAGTTGATGGAGTGTCAGTTGGGATGAACTTCTCTGAATGTTTATTTTGGGGTCCACTATCTGGATGCCACTTGGATCCAGCCATATAGTGTGACTTCCTGGCAGCAATTTCTCCTTCTGATCAGATCTGGGGCATTATGTGATTGTTTATGCATAGTATGTGAAGTCCTGAACTGGCTGTACTTAATTTTATATTTCTAGGTTGGATGAAGCAAATACTCCATGGAGACTGGGCCTCCCAAAGAGCTCTGGGCTCTTGGCGGATGAAGTACAGTTGTGGGTGTTTGGAAGAATATTATCCAGTCCTTCAGGCTTAGAGGAGGGGATGGTGACCCAGAACTCAGGACAAAAGTGTCTCAAGAGACAGAAATGCTGGTGGGAGGGACAGCTCAGTCAAGAGGAGTATGTGTGTGTTAATATATCAAAGCAGATGTGGAATTATAAAGAGAAATTAGTACTCCTCTATGGTAGGATAAATAAATTTTGAAGAATTAAAACATGATAAAAACTTAAATTAATGTGAAGTAAACTTGCCAGGCAAAAACTCTTATCAGATAAATTTGTCACCTTACTCTTGGGACTTCACTGTGTCCAGTAGACCACATGGAGATTTCTTGTGGCTGATGTACCCCAACATTCAACCTTCAAACAATTAAACACACTCTATATGTAATAGCTAATTCTGGAACAAGTTTTAAACACATTCAGAAAATTTTCGCTTGCTTCCTATTAAAGTTGCCGTTCTAAGAGGTCATTTCTTCTGTCCTTATTTCATGTTTGTTGCAATTTCTCCACCCCACCCCCAACAAAAGCGACAACAAAAAAAAAAATCCCAAGCTAAAAAGCCCTTAAGCTATAAAATTGGTGTCCAAGAAAAACATTTAGTTTGAAAAAGAGTTGAAAAATGTAGCCTTGGAAGAACCACTGCTTACATGGGATTGTTCAACAAATTCCTGCTGTGTGAGGTTTGGCATATACTTTCTAAAAATATAAGCATCTGGGGAAACGAGACAAAGCCCAGGTCTTGGACCAAATGAGGCACACAGTGTGAATCTGTTAGTGATTATATCCATAATGCAATATGTGCCCAAATTTAGCTGTGCAAAATCTCATACAATATGAAGGCCCAGCAGGCACGGTCCTTACCATAATATATAGCCCACAGAGAAGGTGCATATGGCTGTGAGTCCACTGCTCCTGCTGGGATACTGATGGTGCGATGTCCTCATCTCGATTAATATAAAGGGCAAAACCGTCGTGTGCTGGAAAAGAACAGAGACTAGGTGACACAGATTCTTATCATTGCCTTTCTACAGTTGTATTTTTTCTCCAGTAGGAAAATAACAGTGTAAATTCCCAAGAAGGGGCCAGAGTAGAAAGTATATAATACGCCAGAGAGGGAGAAAGACACGACAACATGTCCCGCAACAACTGCTCCGTTTTTCTTCTGTATCTTAACTTTTGAAATTTTGTTTTATTTGATGTCCATGATAGGAAATTTTGTTGCCATAGAAAGAGGTAGAGCAAAAAGAACTGGAACAAAAATAACCCATAGCTAACATTTAGGGGGGATGGGTTGTTGTTTCTTTCCTCCTTGGTCATATTATTTATATATCTTTAAGATCATACTGTGCATGCAATTTAGTTTTAGATTTTTATCTCACTATTGTAGCATGAGAATTTTTGTTATTCCATTTTAGAAATTCTTCTAGACCACCAGCTCTGACCATAACTGCTTAAAATTCTATTATGTGGATGTACTAAAATTTATTTAACCAATTCCTGTCCTTGGGCATCAGACAGTAAAGGGTTTTCAATTTTTCATTTATTAGAAATGTCATTATCAACTTTTAAAATAGAACTCTTTGAAGGTCTGAATGTTGAAGTATTTCCTTGGAGTTAAAGTATCTGAAGATTTTAAAGCTACTGACACCTACTGCCAAATTATGTGTGTATCAGCATCAGATTAGGAAACGACATCAAATTTGCTTCCCAAAAGGCTTTGCCAGTATGTACCAGCAGTACATGGATTTAAATATGATGTTTGAAGGCAGAACCCCAAGAAGTTAAGTGGAACATTCCCTCGGTCTTTCTGATCCAGTGGTTACTCTATATACTAAGTACAAGAGACCAGAATGGAGATGAAATGTCTCTACCCAAAGGGTAAGAAGGAAATTCAAGTTCTTAAATCCCTCTGAGATCCAAAATATTCTTTGGTACTAAAATATGGTAGCTAGACATAAGATTCCAAGAGCTTCTTAGATAAAAGTGTGTCAGGATATATCCTTACTTGTCAACTCTAGAGTTTCTTAAAAGTGCAAAGATTGCAGAAATGACTGAAAATCGATCTGTTGGCAGGGTTGAATTTTATTTAGTAACTCCTGAACAGCCATGGAAGAATCTTTGTCCTGCTCACGCTGTGTTGTTTGCATATGTAAAGAAAAATAGACAATTTAATGTCCTGATTTTCAAACACATATTATAACAAGTATTTCAGCAAAAATGAAGCCAGGTGGCAGGTAGGTGTTGGCAGGTCAAAGACATGCTGGGGATATCAAGGTAAGCATCTCTGGAGCAACTTATTGTTAATGTCCACAGACAAAATAGAAAAAAAGTGATTTTGAAAGAAATATTAAAATGGTGGATTTTTTATTTTTTAGCCTCAACAATCTCCTCTAGATAACTGTTCTAAGTGCCATTTCATTAGTAATTAGAGTGGCATTCCAAGGATGTCAGGAGAGTGATCCCACAGTTGGGTAGCTTTATGTTTCTTCATCTTTTATCTTCTTTACTATTATTATTGTTTTGAAACAGTATAATTAGCTCTGTAGGGAAGCATGCAAAATGCACATATGTGCTAATACAGAAAAGATAAATGCATTTTAAAGAACCATTCTCTTGTATTTTTATTGTAATCGAGTTACCTCAGATGACACTGGTCTGGAATTTTACCAACAGTTTGAGATAGCAACAATACTTTCACTGTGTAAAATTAAAAATACAGCTAGTAATAAGGTCATTTCTTATCAAACCTTACATAGAAAAAAATTCTTCGAACCTTTACATTGAAGATAATGTTGACTCTGATAACCCATGTGGTTATAAATGAGAATGATATTAGTTTGAGCTCATTCATATTAAGGTATTTCTTAGTTCTGCCTCTGCAATCCAAAATGAGTAGAAATGAACCCATTTTTCTACAAATTTATATTAGTTCAAGCGATCAACCTAAATATCCTTAGTTACCCAGTGACTATTATTTTATCTAGTCTACTTGCTGACAATCAGCACAGGGTTAGGGTGTACTTTACTGATGGCAGGCAGAAAAATCTACCTTAAAAAAGGAAGATCTTTGTAGATCACTTTACCCTTGAAACACTAAAAAAGAACAACTTGTTCTATCAGTGACATAACCACTAAGGAGGAAAGTTTTTCTAGACCATTCTTATCATTCAGAATTTTCATGTACTAAAGAATGTTTATCTTCTCCTCTGAACATTTATAATGCAAATCATATTTACTTGTAAATAGCATCTACTAGCAAAAGTCAACATAATACCAAAGATTTATTGAAAGTGTTGCCCTAGTTTAAAGTTTTATGAACTAAAAAGATGGTAAAACTTTATAGATGGTCATTTTGAATTTTAAGTAACTTTTAGCAGCTAAGCTATAACTCCAAATTTGTGGTAGCAAGAGGGATAGTTATTTTAGAACTTTAGGTACAAGAAATCAAGTTTGAATCCATTTCTAGGCAACACTGTTTCAAAGACTTAAGGACCAGGATAGAAAGGGTCTGTTCCCTTTTAAGACCACCAGCTGCACAAGAATGGAAATCTTATGTTTTATTCACTATGGCATTTGCAGTACTTAGAAAAGACCTTGTTGGCGCTTAGAAGGAACTTGAGGAATATTTGTTGAGATAACTTAATGTTCTGAACATTCTCCTAAGTGATTATTATTAACTTCATTCTGTGGATGATAAAAAAAAAGCTCACAGAGGTTAATTATTTTGCCTAAGATCACTCAGCTACTAGATCCAGAGGGAGGATTCAAAACAGATCTGTTTTGAATCTGCCTCCAAATCCCATGGTTTTTTTTTTTTTTTGCCTTAGCATTGTATTTTTCAAATATAACAGAGTTGAATAATCTTAGAATCATAAGCCTGTGCATGATTGAAGATCACGTATATTGTTTCCCACAGACCAGAAGTATTTTTTGGTTGGCCCCCCAAGGAACAAAAAGTTCTTCACTCTAATAAAATTAATTTTACTCACCCTTACTTCCTGTGATTATCTGAATAATCATAAATGACAAAGTGGGCTACTATAAAGTCAGAACCCTCTAGTGGTTTGATGACAGCTACAGAGGACTGGAGACATAATCAAGAAGCACCTGTTTCCTCTCACCCCAATACTATTTAAAACCTGAGTATTCTCAGGTAGGTGTAGGCTCACTTTGGATAAACAGAGGAAATAAACAGTGGGGTAAACAGTGGGGGCTCCCAAGACTTGTATTGGGTTGTTCTTTATATAGACTGTTGCTGTGGTTTTTGGTGTGGCTTGTTCCCAAGGGAGTCTGTGTTGGGAGGCTTGATCCTGGGAGTACAGGTGGACCTTTAAGACGTGGAGCCTAGTGATAGGCCCTTAGGTCATGGGAGGTACACTTGGAAGGGCTGTAAGACCCCAGACTGTCTTTCTCTTTCTCTCTAAAACTTCTTGTTTTTCAATAGGAGGATGGTATTCCTGTACCATATGAAAATAATTTCTTCCTTGGAGGCAAAGCCTGGTTTTGAATATGAGGTGTGGCCAGCCTAGTTGGGTAACAGAGCTGGCAACCTGGGGTCCATTTTTCTGCATCAGCAGGACACAGGCAGCCTCTGAGAGTGTGCTCATGGTAAAGGGTGCATCAGATCACCAAGCAAGCTTGCTTTTTCTTTCACGGTTGTCAGGACATCTAGATTTTCTGATATCCCTAAGACAACTAATGATCAAAAATATAAGGACAGCTGTGTAAGTATGCATGGCACCTGCGTATGTGTGCATGTGTGTCAGTGTGTACCTGCAGTCTTATGGGCACCCAGGTTTCAGGCATGCTGGAGACATGACAGGGCCTCCCAGAGAAGATGAGGTAAGAAAGAGTCTCCATGAGGTCCACCACAAACGGAAATAATATGAAAAGCCTTCCTAGGTGCAAAAAGTCATACACTCCAGGTTGTACCTTGGATGCTTGTTTTTTTTTTTATCCTATTAAAAATAGGAAATCTGTATTTGTACATAAAGAAAGAAGGAATTTCCCAGTTTTTAAAATAAGGCCCATTGCATTAGCAAAGTCATATTTAAAGTGATAGAAGGGGTGACATCAGAAAACAGTGATATCACAAAACACTGGCTGATTCCAATCTTGGGTAAAGTTCTGGGCTCCCTCAAAAGTCCAGTGCTTTATGAGTACAGGAAAACACTACATAGGGTGGGGGCCTGTGCAAAATTAGGTTGGATCTTCCCTTGGGGCCAAAAATTTATAATCTGTTGGTGAGGCATCTTCCTCTTACAGAGAGACTGAGATGACATCCAGGCATCTTGGAAATAAAAACGATACAGGCTCAGCTGCGAACCTAAAGTTTTACCTCTGAAAATATGAACAAATGTTTTATCCTGAAGCTGTTGTTATTAATTCCACTATCAGTTCAAATTAGCCACTTCCTCCCTAGGACAGATGTTTCAGTGTTTAGAGTGACGGAGAGCTGCCAATCGCAAACACTATAGTGTCCTTTTCTGCAGAAGTCTCCAGAATGGAACCTCCTCATGGGACTCCCTCTCCTAAAAGCTGAGGTGTTAGTTTTTGTTTGGTCATGCCTGTAAACATGATGTAGACTCTCTCTAGAAAGTTCCAGAACATTTTTGACTATGCCTTTTTGGTGCGGTTTTGGGTGTCTGTTCCTGACAGCTCTCAAGTGGGATTGAATTGCTTTTTACACATGAGCAGCTTCATGTTCAAAATGAGGTTAGAAAAACTGTGACCCAGGGTCCAAAGCTCAGGTTCAGATGGAACCAACATGCATTGCGAGCGAGTCTGTGTGTCTCAGGTACTTCCCAATCTCTTTTTGGCCTAAGTACTAAATTTGGGATTCATTCAGCTCTAACTTTAGTCCCAACAACTATTAGGATATGGTTTTATAATTAGGCCAAATAAATCAAATAATGTCACACATTATAAACAAAGACACACATATCTTTGCAATTAAGAGCAAACTATGCATCACAGA